GTCGGTTCCGACTCGATAGCACCTGACAACAACAACAAATAGTTAAAAAGTGGACGTCAGAATGGTGGTATGGGTATCAGTGACACTGTGAAAATAGACGTGGCAGGTTCGGAGAATGAGGGAAAGAAAAGTTGTATAGTGTAGCAAAGTGAATACTTGATGCTGGCATAACTAATACATGAAGAAAGGAGGAGCGAGTTGTTTGATATTGGAGAAAGATAATTTGGTTTGAGTTATGTTAAATTTGAGCACATATAAAAAATCTGCATGAGGATGTGGCGTTAAAAATACAGATTTGTAGGTTAGTATTGACTAATACAATTGAGAAATAGCGAGATCTCAATTTGTTCTAGTACTTTTCTCTAAAATGTGTATGATAATAAATCCTTATTGTTCATTTTCTCTTTCTTTATGCCTTTGAATCCCTACCATTTTCTATTTCTTTTTTTTTCTTCTTTCTTTTCATATTTTATTAATTCCATCTTGTAAAAATTTTTAGAAATTTATGCTTACTCTAACTATTATATCTGATAAAAGTTTATATTTATGATGACTATTTTATCTGAAAATATATGTGCTTACTGTTATTAACGTGTGTATGTGTATATATATGTATATATAAATTTATATGAGGTTGAGTCCAAAAGTGTTGCTACAAAATCATAGAAACTCTTATTAAACAAAAATATCAAAGTGTGAAGCTATTGTTTTTCAACATATCCTCTATCTATGTCTATACACTTCTGAAGGCAGTATTTCCATCTCATTCCTTCCCTGAAGAACACAAAGCTCTAGGATTTATACCGCAGACATCAAAACAGCAATTTTGGCATTCCATAGGGACTCAAACTGTGTTCCTTTGAGCTGTTTTTTAGTTTGAGGTGCAAAAGAAGACTTAGCAGACAAGATCAGGGCTGTAGGGCTGACGAGGTAAGGTTTTCCAATGAAATTCTCATAGGACAGCCATTGTTGTTGTTGTTAGGTGCCATCAAGTTGGTACTGACTCATAGCAACCTTATGCACAGCAGAATGAAACACGGCCCGATCCTGGGCCAACCTCACTATGGTTGCCATGCTTGAGTCCATCGATGCTGCCATTTGGCCAATCCATCTTGTTGAGTATTTTCCTATTTTTCTCTGACCCTCCACCTTACGAAACATGATATCCTTCTCCAGTGACCAGTCCCTCCTGACA